GAAGGCCACAGCGGGAGGGACAGACGGGAGAGGCGGGGACGGGGACAGCGTCCCCCCTTGTTAACAGCGCCGGACCCTGTAGCCTTTTCAAGGCTGTGAATAGGGGGTGGTACCTCTCCTCCCCTGAATTTGGGACGGAGGGGGGGGGAGGGTGTTGTGTTGGCGCTAACACGCTCAGACAGGGCTGGAGGGATGGGGGGGACACACTACCCCAGATGGGAGCATGTGGGGGGTTTCTCCTGCCGCCACATGCCCTTCCTCTCCCTCCCGCCCACCATTCACATGGTAATGAGGACAAATTGATGGAGAGACATCCATTGTGGTACCCTCCAGCCCGGCCCTTCTGCCGGCCACCCACCAGCATCCTCATCCATCACCACCCAGCAGAGACCCTGGTGGGAGCCCCTCGGCAGGGGCTGGCACCCTGGGAGATGGGACTGCTTCAGGTGCTCACGAGCAGTGGGGCAGCCCCCAGGTTGCCCTGGCTCTCCCGGGGCTGAGTGATTAGAAAGGGGGTACATCCAGGGATGTACCCAGCTCCACATAAGTCCTGTCTGTCCGCTGGACGTCATTTTGTCCTCACCATCCTCACTATGGGGCTTTATGGGGCTATGGGGGAGTTAATGGGGCTTCAGGAGGGGAAAGACCCCAGAATCTTATTTATGGGTCCCTCCCTTTCTCTCGCTGCCCTGGGGCTGGCCCAGAGCCAGGACCCACCCACTTTCCCTGCTTCCACCCCAAAGCAACCCCCCCAAAACCCTTCAGCATCCTCCTAACGAGGCAAAGAGCTGTTCCCTCATATTCACTGATACCATAAAAACCTAGGCCTGGAGATGGGCTGCCCACAGTGCCACAGGGCACCCCAAAGGGCACATCCTCTCCCCATGCACCCCCTGCCTCCAGCTCCCCCCGCCGTGCCTGCGATGGCAGCCTGATTGAAATTTCACTCCATAAAGCGCCTCTCGAAAGCCTGACCCCGTGCCCCCCCCGGGGACCAATTTGTCCTTCTCTGTAATAAGAACCTAATTAAATTAGCTCAGCCGCCTCGCAGAGCCCTTAAATTAGCCACGGTGATGAGGGCCCTCGCTGACAGCCTGCTGCTGAATTGCTCTGCACTTGCTATGCTGTGGGGTCCAGGGAAAGCCCTGGGGGGACCCTGCCCCCAGCACCCCCAGGGAGACCAGGGCAGGGCAGCTTGGAGATGGGGCAGGGGAACACAGAGGGGTGCGTGTGTGGGACAGGTATGGGGAGGCTGTGTGGGGTGCTGGCTGGTGGTCTTCCCTTCTGCTGGCATGGGGTGGAGGGGGGAAAATGGCTGGCAAGGGGCGAGGGGACAGAGTCAGCAGTGGCTAGCGCTAGTGACATTGTAAACCCAGTGTACAGGGTAGGGGGTCCATCTTCTCCAGGAGCACTGGGTTAGTGGGTGTTATGGTGATGGAGATGATGGGGAAGGGTGTCGCAGCACGGCCGGGCACTGGAGCGATTGGGCCCAGACTGGGATGGAGAGGTGTCCCTGGCAGTCTTACGGTGGCTGTCCATCCTACATCCTGCCCCACTTGCCCTAGTTTCCAGGTGGCCCCAATGACAGCTTGGTCCCATGTAGGCTGGGTCACTCCTGCACCCTCCAGCTGCCCACCTCCCCTGGGTATGGGGGAGTGGGGAGGGAGAGCTCGCCCTTACTGGTGGGGAGC